GCAAAATATTTTGAGAACCATGTGAAGATTGGGATAAAAAATTCTTTATAACAAGTATTTAAATAGTATAATCCTGGAGGAAAGTTATGTTGTCCGTAAGTATTTAACATCGCCACATATTCAATTCAGCAATGCTATGCTATGCTATAGCATGTAGATTAATTATAGATGAAAAACATTCAAATAGCGTTTTAAATTCCTAATGTTTTTTTTTCTTCGCAATAGTGATTCTTGTTTAAAAGTACAATTAAATTCCAAATAAATAAAAGTGTGATATGTAATATTATTTTATTCTCAAAATAATGCCTAATCTTCAGATATTGTTTTATGATTAATAAATCGTTCAGTCAGTTGTGTTACATAAAAATCAATGAATGCTAAAGATACTGTGACGCAATAGTAGTATTCAATAGAACAATCTTGAAAATTTAGAAAGGCCTACAGATCTGTTAAGAACTACGTTGTAAATGCGTTCACCAACGAAGTATGTTAAAAAAATAACGAGCGTTCAAATGCCGAATTCCGATTCACGTATCACTTCTATTCGATTTTCTTGGTAAAAATTATTTATTTATTTATTTTATTTTAATTTCATATTATGAAATACTTATACCTATTGTACCTTTTATAAATGAACAAATAAAAAAAGCTCAAGAGGAATCTATCCCCTCCCTCCTCATATCCTCTTCATAGGTTTTAATTTGATTTCCATCGGACCTGACGGAACAATATTTTACGTAGCACGTACACCATACGCATTTCAGCCACGTCCAAACACCGTCTTCAGAGGCAATAATTTAAAAATTATTGATATAATGCATCAAGTAGTCCACTATAACGTCGGGCTTATAATTCGGTTGTGTTGAATCGATCGTAAAAGTGTACTTGTAGTAAAAATATTCCTAATACGAACGAAACGGGACGTGGTTTACTGTTTATTACCGAGTAGGTACGTAAGCGTCGCCGATATTTTGCAAGGTGTATCCGTAATCGCGATGAAAACCTTAAGATATTCGTTGTTGTGTTTTCATTTACGTTTTTATATTAAGTTATAACGTGCACGCGCACGCTCGAGCACGGTTTGTTAAATATACTTGCGCGGGGGTCGTGTAGCGCGGGATTACTTTATCGTCATCATCGTCGTCGTCGTCATTGTGTAGTACAATAATGTGTATTATGATTAACAAAAAAAACCAACGAATGTCTCGAGATAAGCGCGTGCAGATAACGCGTCATAATGTCATTGTGCAACGCATAATTTATATTCGTCCGAACGCGTTGATAACGTTCGATCGAGTAAAGGCGTTCACACGGAAAGTATCACGTCCCGCGCCAGACGAATGCTTAGGCACGGCGCGGCACTCGAGGCCCAACAACCCGAACGGGGAATAATGTCACACGACGAGTACAAATATAATACGTAATCAATTTCAACACGTGTGGGAACATTCCGCCGACGTGCGGTATGGCAGTGACGCGACAGAGCTTGGGGGTGTCTAGGGGTTTAGGGTTTTTTTCGCCGTTTGTTTCCAAAAAGAGAGAAAGTTGTCGACACACGGACGAGCAACCCCGCCGGAATTCAACCGGAACTCGACTTAGCCATGTTAAGTGTTAAAACGACTGCGATTCGTTTCCCCAGAATCGCTATTACATGTCGAAACCTATTGCGATAACCTGTACAATCGAAATCATAGTAACATCCTGTATCATAGTCTGGGCCGCATTTAGGGGGGATCTACAGGCGCTGATGTTCCGGACGGCTGAATATGAGAGGGCGGCTAATTTTTTATATTTTCAATATTAATGAACTAATATTGTTGAAGTGAAACTTCTTTACAAAATAAAAAGTGTACCTCAAAAAAAAAACATATATCGCCAATCACGGCGTTACGACACACACATACTCGGTAACGGTCGTGTACTGTCGATAGATCCAAAGATTTACAAACAATCTATCCTTGTGTTGACATTGCACTTAGAATGTTTTTGTGCACACCAGCAACGAATTGTTCTTCAGAAAGATCTTTTTCAACCGCAGAAATTTGTATTTGGTATAATGAAGCGTTTTTTATTGTTGCCTCCTGGTACCAAATTCCTAAATACGACCCTGATCATAGAGGTTCCGCGTGGAAAGTCTACTCGGATTCCGTTTTATTTTCGATCGGAGCTTGCACCAATGACGAGCGGAAAAGATTTCGTAGACCATTTGCGCGTCATTGTGCACAACGGTTTCCGTTTAGTGAGTTGTACGACGGATCGATGGCCATTTAATCCCTCACCACCGGTGGTCGAATTTGGCGGACGAGGGACAGCAGAAGACGATGGCACGTTATGGCGGTATTGTCGATGTGAAAAGTATATTTCATTATAAAATGTATCCTTCCCTACAATCTGTTTCGAGGCACTTTCCACAGCATTGCTCGCCACTGCTCGAAAACCAAAAAGTATTTCAACGTTGTTATACGATTCTACGTGTACATACACCAATCAGCGTACTCGAAGCGTGTTCCCGACAATGTGTTCAATTTTTAGTGACCGATCGGTTTTAAGTTAAATCACTTACCTTGATTTCGTAACCGATTAAATTCTACCGATACTGACGTCGATCCGGTGCAAAACGAGTGCGAAATTAGCACGAACGAGCACAGGCAGCTGTGGAACAGTGGCCGTTGTTTGTGCGTAGTGCAGCTATATACGAGTACGCAACGGTTCTCACGCCTTATTTTTTTAAAACTATAATACCGTAGACTGTCGTGCGCACACGATGAGGATATACTCAACGTTTTGATAGCAGGTATGTTAGTAAAAAAAACACGATGTGTGCTTATTGTTATCATTATTTTCTCTGCATAGGTTTTGAGCGGAAAAAAAAAACTATAATTTTTCATCGACGTTATTATAATGTATGTATGCGCATATTGTTTTATAAATATGTATAATAGTTATTGAAATCCTCGCAGGTGTAAATTATTACACTATAATATTGTAACGACGAATTCGCGATCCGCAGATAACTCTTAAACACTAAAACATTCACTAAAAATTAGCGTTTTAATCGGTGTACATAATGTATACATACGAGTATTTATATATTAATTTAATAATATAATAATTCTTAATAATAAATTGACTAGAACGTAAATAAGATCAATCGCGTTGGAATAACCGAATGGTGTTACATATAGCAGAGACTGGCCCGAAACAATAAAAAACGTAACAATTACATAATGATGACATTCGTTTTAATATTTTCTCCCTCATCGCGCGCGGCACGCGCACCTTAGCGTTGAAACTTTTTTAACCCGTTTTTTTTTCATCCGACGACCAAACGTGATTACGCACGAATATTCAATTATTTTTTTAATAGCTTTGCTACGCTTGGCCAATACCAAAAATTAATAGAAATATTTTCCAAAACCAGACGATTATAAACGCACAAGTAGCTACAGTTCTTGTAGATTAATTACGATAAGATCTTGGATTGTTATAAAATGGAAGCGGTAGTAATGGTTTGACTAGGTACTGATAAGTTTACGGTTAAAAGTAAAATGTGTTTTAATTGAAATCATAAAAATATACTCATACTGTTGCAATATTAATTATTATTCTTCACTTTTCTAAATGTATTTGTTAGGCGCATTTGCAAGTGTACACATGTGCGTATTATTACGGATGGTTTTGTAATTGTATTTAAGACCGTGATAAAATATTCTATTCATAATCAAGATTTAAAGTGTTGGTCAAAAAACTTCAAAATATACATTTCAGATAGAATTAATAATTTAATGTCAAATTTGGCATTAACTACTTTCTATTGACTCTTGACTTCTCTTTCAACACTCCAATCGACTAATCGACTTTATGCCATATCTCTTGTTCACACATATCAGTAGTTACTACCCTCGTGTCGTCCCCATCTAATCATCCCTTTTTCGGTCTTCCACTCTCTCTTTATTTACTCTATATTAATTTTTATGACACTTTTCGCTGTTTAATCGTCTGTCCTCGTAATGTCATGCTCCAACAACTTGACCAGTTTTTTCACGGTATACCATATGTCATTTCTAAGCCATCCATTTTTTACTAATCTATGACGTTATAGTTGCGTCCGAAATGACTTAAATGAATTTGAACCAAACGATCATGGATATGTTACTATCGTAGTTAACGATTTTGGGCGTAATCGTAGTAATCTGTATTGCGTCTTTTTTTCGATTTAAAAGTGTAAATAGTTATAAAATAACGATTATTGTCTGGTCGGAATAAAAAAACAGGGCTTATAGGGGATCTTTATATTTATGGGTGGGAAGGGTTTATACCCTATTTTGTGTACAAATAACTGTATCGTTATTGTACACACACACACACACACACACACACATACACTCATTCACACTCATTTACGTTTTGTCGGCCAGTCTATACCGTGTGATGTATATTATAATAATAATTTATATTATGTTGTATGAGTTGTACACTAATTAGACGATCACACTATTTATTACATATATTCAATCGCAAAAGAAAACGTATAAAAATTATAGTTGCGAGTGTTTATCGACCTTTGGATACACATTGTATTTAAATGTACATCGCACGCGAAATAGGATGCTCGAATAACATGCATGCTTTACATTGTATACATTTATAAACTTAATTATTACGTATTATTGTTACAAAACGTGTGTGGTACGGATTACAAATCAATGATAATAGCTGTGCGTTGCCTGTATATATATATATACATATATATATATATGTTTAGTTTTCGTCGAGATTAAGGAACAATTTATTTTTATTTTTCATACGCTTAAATATATTGTAACTATCGTACACAGACGGTCACTATGTATAAATATTATATAAACATATCGTAATGCGCACAAAAATCATTATTTGGCATGAAGAAAACCATACGAATTGATTTATGATTATATTATTCCCTACAATGCGCAAAACGCTCGCACTCTATACATGTACACGAGAACAGCACTACACGATAATATTATAATGACAATATATTATACATACATTTGTAGGTCCGTATAATGCGTACGTTATTCTTAACACACTGGCCTTCGGGACGAACAGGATGGCTTGCAAAAAGGTTTGACTTCGGTAAGGAAGGGCAGGAAGGGCGGAAGGATAGGTTCGGTCATGCGATAGGATTGAATTACGGACATAATTAGTGATAATATACATTATGTACAATACGCGTCGTCGTACGCATCCGTTTCGTTGGGTTGGATCGGACGCGACAACGGAGAAACAATAAGTCGGATTCGGTTTGGCGGGGACGACTGGACGGCCGCCGCGGATGATGTGACTCAAAACAGATCGACGAAGCTTAGGCCCTGCGAGCCCTGCGTGTGCCCTCTGATCAGATCGGGATCGGACGGCGTACTCTGGTTCTGGTTCACCATTGAACTGGTCACCACTTGGCTGTTCTCCTGTCTCATAATGTTCCTTCTCCATTTCGCTCTCGCGTTTTGGAACCAAACCTGTATACATACATCGGGTACACGTTCAGTATAGGCCGCGTAACGACGTGATCCGCCGGGTAACCGTTTAAAAGACGTCTCGTGGACGCGGTTCGGTAGGGAAGGGTCGGTTAGAGGAGGCTTAGATAAGGACGAGTTTACCCAGTATACTGAAATCCCGCGCCGAGAATCGAGCGATCCATTCCAAACAGATCGTATACGCGTAAGTACAATACGCGCGCATTGGCCCTGCGCTGTTTATTAAAAAACCCGTAATGTTACGAAAACTGAAATGGTGACGGTCTAAAAATCAATTTCGATTGGGAGTTTTTACGTGACGCATACGATTGAAAGATGGCGACTGAAGTTCACCACGTTCGGTTAATCGTACGGTCGAACGATTGACGTCTTACGATATTCGGTTCGATTTCAAAGTACCGGGGAAAAAAATCGGACCAACGAAGATCAGAATCGGTCAAGCGTGTGCGCGAACCGTCGATTGCGCAACGGTATCGCGTGTTATGGGCTATCATATATTATATAATATATAATAAATATCTTTTCAATAATTGATATATTTTAATACGGGATATGTATGATCATGTAATAATCGATATATTTAAATTTAAAACAAAACTAAAAGACACTGTAAAGACAGTGTAATATTATATCCTTTTATTATAATTATATACTGGTCTATGTAACAAAAAAAAAAAAAAAAACTATGTAATAAGAATGTATGAATTAAATCTGGAATACTATGAATTACAAATGTGGGTATTACAAGGACAACGACACACAAACAGCAGGTGCAAGATCTACATTTCTTGAAAATCACAGAATAACAAATTCAATGACGTCAATCAAGCAATATAAAAGAAGGATCGAAATGACCACAATTCAGATGAGTTCTAGTCACGGAACTGCAAGCAACTTGACGTCACTCTATGTTAAAATTTGTTAAACACTTTTAATATTAAAATAAATGTATAAAAGTTAAAGTCTCATATCTTATTGATTAAATTTAAATGCATCATCGACTGCACTACTTGGAATCGAGCCGGTGACACGTAACACGCGTACGGACATATCGATTTTACGTGTACTGAGGGTAAGAAAAAAATCGTTTCGTCGCGTCAAAGATGTTTTCATTTATTTATTTATTTTTCGAAACGCCAAAAACAAAGGTCAAAGAGCGCGCGGACGGGAAACCGATCGTCGTTCCTCTGCACCCGGTTCGTATTGGCGATCCGACAACCGGACTACTAACCGGAAGAAAAACAAAACCGTGTATATTATTGGTAGTGGCTATATTTATCCGTTTCGTCCGTTTCCGACGTGTTGACTATAGTCGGATACGTCGGTTTTAAAACGAGAATTTATTTGTTTTTCTTCTGACGGTTCGGATTGTCGGATCGGATCGGGAACGGGTCCAACACAGCAGCAGCCCCCGACCGAATCGGGAACGGAAACGACCCGGTCCGCTTACCTGCAACACTCGTTTGGACAGGCCGGTCTTCTGCGCCAGCTGTTTCAGGTCCTTGGCGTCCGGGTTCTGGTTGATGTTGAAGTACGACTTCATCGTGCGCAGCTGATGGTGTTTGAACGACGTGCGCATGCGCTTGGTGCGCGTCTGCTGCTGCTGTTGCTGCTGCGACATGGCTCCTCCTCCGATGGTGCCAACGGTCGACGAAGAGTTGGTGGGCGACGACAAGCTGGACGTCTCGTAGGTGAGCGATTCCATCGACGAAGACAGGTCCGTGGCCTGCATGACTTCTGCAAAAAAAAAAATGAAACGAAATCGTCATATCGTTAAGCACGTTCGAAAACAAAACCGCGACGCGCTCCTAAAAAAAATGTCCGGGTTAGGTGTTGGACAACAGATCGTGTTGTAAACGTGCAGCTTTGAATAGCGGTGAAAAATGTTCGATCCCAATTCCGTTATTGCATTACGATCGGTCGCATCCGTCGTCGCGATTGCAGAAAACAACGGGTAATTGGACATATTTTTCGTATTTTATGTTGTACGCGTATTCGTTTCTCGTTCCGTACGTATAGTCAACGTCCGATGTCCAAAGTTGCTTGGGGAAAAAATAAAAAACCTTTTTTGCGAATCCTTCAACAATACCCTCTGTGTAATTATCTCCAATTGTCTCGAAACAATAATTATTGTCATATTTTTTATCAATAATTGTTGAGTACAAATGGACACGTATAGTTTTATCTTTAAAAGATGATAATAAGAAAAAGGTTACACTATAACATTAGTATACTGTTTTAGTCTCTATCATATGTGATATGCGATCCGGTAAAAATCGAATAAAAATTAACTCTCTGTGACACGTTAACATAATGCTGCATATATAAATATAATAAAAAATAATGTTTATTTCACGTAAAAAACAAAATACTCTACTGTTGTTCTGTGAAATGTACCTTTTTACTCCGAAATTATTTCAACGACGCGCTAATTAAGTTTGGACTTAATTATGGTAATAATCGTAATGTTTAATGTGTGGAATGATAATCCCCATTGCTTAACCAAGAGATATGCTTGTGAATTGGGATTGAAAATCTACCGTTAAAATAAATATATATGTTTGGCGATTACAGCACGTATAATATAAGTATAGGCATGTGTTCATCCGCTTAAAAAAAAAAAAAAAATAATAAAAACCTTAGGTCAGTAATTTATTCCTTATTAGGTGGACTAGTGCGATAGGAGCAGGAAACGTCATTTAACCACTGCACATGGTCGCAGGACTTGCAGGAACCAACATTCCCCTTTCTCCACAAGTATCGACATCTGGATGGCACGGGGGCGTCCATTGTTTGCAGAACGTATACTTTTTCTCTCCACTCACCTCGTCGTTCTTTTCGTCGCACTTTTCATGTTACACCATTTCTCTCTCTCTCTCTCTCTCTCTCTCTCTTATCGCATTTGTTCTCTTTTTATAAATATATATATATATATATATATATGTATACAAATTTTTTATACTCGTATGTATAGTTAAACGTGTGTTGTGCGTACACTTTTGTGACGAATGACGGACAGGTGCCCCACATCATCGGCGAAATAATCCAAAATAAACAATGCATAAGAAGTGTGCTTGGGAAAGAAAACATTTGTTCGGCACAAACACCCGGGGTTAATGGGCACAACTATTGACAACAAGCATTCGGGTCGGGAAATACGGTGTAAAAACACGGAGAGAAAGAGAGAGCGAAAGGGAGAAAAACGAGAGAACGAAAGAAAAGAATAAAGGGAGCGATGACGACGGGAAAGGGGTCGGGGCAATGGAAATACTTAGAAATGGTATTTTTCTTTATTTTTCAATGACATCTCGTTATATCCGTCGACGACGACGAATGGAAATCGTTTGGAGGTGGTGTTTTTATGTCAACTCGCTCGTTGACAGCTCTACACAACCGTATACTTTCGTTCGTGTATAATTTATATCGTCTCTATTGTTGTCGGACTCGGCTAAAGTGTATGCATACATACATATTACAATATGTAAATATATGCAAGTTTGCACAACCGAATTGGATCTATTCGGTGGAAAAACTGTACAAAGGTTTTGATAAAAAGTACATGGAGTAAAACTCGTGTCGAGTAATTGTAGGCGGTACGTATTTTTAAGTATGCTTTATCGCACTACTCGCACACTATGTAATGACGACAAGTAGGATATTTGAAAAACCCTTTGTATACAAGAAAAACTCGAAAAGGTGTCCGATTGATACTTTACGTACAATCTGCAAGCCATTTTACACACTCGCTGGATTTGATAAATTTATTGTCTTGTCATGACCGGGTACAGATATATTTTATAATTGAAATAATAGTAGGTACACGTCGGCTGTTTAATAAGTAAATATTTAGGTAAATATGTCTGTTTTATTATAACACTTATTTATTTCATTTTAAATTCGATGCGTGTACAGACAAATAAATGGGTTTCCAACTCAATACTATAATTATACACGTGAACGCATAAATACACCGCGGTATTAAAGTGTTTAATGAACGAGCTAAAAAAGCTGTGCGCCTAATAATTGGTTTTAAGAGTTGCTCGAGTCATAAACACGAAATAAACATCGTATACTATTTATTTAGATAGAAAAAACTGGAAATCAGTTCACGATGGCAACATATACACTCAGTGCAGGGGTGTAAAAAAATATCGAAAGAGCGATCGTTGAGGTAACAAAATGATCAAATCTATGTTAAGAAACCCCTCAGTCCATTCCGATACTGTTAAATTTTCTGATTTTTTCAAATGCACATTATTTAAATTATAGTTACACGTTTGTTATTATTTACAAGTGTTCGAAACATACGATTTCTTTAACACGTACAAAAGTTATGGAAAAAAAAAAAAGTCAAATCGACGCTCCGTGGAAAAATACACGGCACTGAACACTCTCGTACGGGCACCGGAATACGTATACAGGTATAATACATGTGCATACGCTGAGATTGATCGATTATAAACTATTGTTAGTATTATGTACCAAGATTTTGGAATTATTTTCGTGGACATTCGCCTCGATTCGACGATAAAGTCCCCGTATACCACAACCACATTACGCATATATGCATATGAACACGGATTGTCGTTTGTATTTTCTTTTTTACATCAATATCATGTACACATGTGCCTGTATAATAAACATTCTCGTGCGGTAGCGGAGGGCTGCTTTATTTGGGTTGTGCTTGTATTAAATTTTAATTGGGTACCGCCGAAAGGGTTGGTTTTTCGTTGGCACCAAACGGTTTCCCAAAGATGAAAAGTACGCGCACGCACGCACGCACGTATGCACGGGAATGGATAGCGACAGGGGATGAAATATTATTATTACGTGCCGATAAGACCCAATATCTGTGTACGTGTGCGCGTGTGAGCGCGGAAGGCGCACGCGGGGTATAGCTACCGGGTGCTCGGGACGTCGACGATCGTCCTCTGGGTGGCCTCGGGCAGCGTCCAATTAGAGGTGCGACAACACGCACTCCGTGTAAAACCGTATATTATAATATTGTCATCGCCTTCCCAGGAGGAGTTTTCGCTGCTCCTACGCGGAGACCGATAAAAAAAATAAAAAAATAAAACCGGTGCGCGTGTGTGTAAGCGCGTGAATATAAATCGTCTCGGGGACGACACGGTTTCTATCTTAAGCCCAACGGGTATACGGAGATAAAAATAAAAAAATAAAATAAATAAATAATTAAACGGAAAAAAAAAAATTAAAAACAAAAAACACGGTCTCTCTCTCACTCTCTCCCCGCTCGCGCCGGTGTATAATAAACGACATACTACGCGCTGCGTCCGCACCACCCCACACCCCTTCGGTGCGCGCATACCGTCACGGTGGTATCCTCTCACCAGACCACTGTAATAATAATGTTAAGTACGCGCATTAGTACATCGCGCGTCGATTGTAAATTACGACAAAAAAAAAAATAAATAAACCGTCGACAGGACGGGCTATACTTGCGCGTCGTGAACAATACGTGTCCGCGTAGGGCATGAACGTTTCGCGCCGTGTTCGAAAACGCCGTTTAACGGGCGCAACTAGAGCTCAAATATTGGGGGTGTGCTAAAATCGCTAAAAATAAAATTGCAATGGTATTTAACCGTAATCACTACAGATCGTATGGATCTGAAAAAAAACACAGGAGTACTACATTTGAACTCAGGAGTGTTAAAAACCCTATTGCGCCCCCTAGTTGTGCCTGTGCCAGCAAGGCCGTCCTGATGATTTGCGGGTCTCGGGACAGAGTAAAATTGCGGGGCCTTAAATGTGGAAAATGTCACTATCGCGCGTCAGTTGCATAGTGGAACTCAAATGTGCGCCAAATAGTCTTATCAACTATAGTACTTTGCACTTACAACAATATGAATAAGTAAATCAATTTATTATACAATAAAAAATTTTATATGAAAAAAAAAATGATATGTACATTTTTTTTTTTGCTCATCAATTTAACTTTTTTTTTATTGTATCTATGATCTATGAAAGCAAGGCCTGTCCAACTGTGGTAAGAACGCGGGGCCCGGGGCGAGGGTTCCGCTCGCCCTCCCCTAGGGACGGCCTTGTGTGTCAGCGGTTTGCGTACGGGGTCACGGCGAAACTGCGAATCGACCGTCGAATATTGTCGACCGCGCGTGGTAACGATAACCGCTGCGGACGAGCTCGTGGTCGGAACATGAGTACTCGCGGGGGGAGCGGTGCGTAACCGTAACGCGCGGGAAATGCCATCGATTTTTCGATTTATTCGATTATCCGGTTGCAACGCTAAAGCTATTGGCTAGCCCTGTTCGTCTGTCGTGCGACCGACCGTCGTACCCAGGGCCGGCCCAAACAAAAATAGTGCACTAGGCAAAAACAAATGTTGTCGGCTCTAAAAAAAAAAAAAAAAAAAATGTAGCTCTTATTTTAACTTAGCCTCTCCACCTATACATCTTCATAAAAAAATTTTCAATTTTTTATTTTACGTATAAAATTGTATGTAAAAAGACTTAAAAATGATTTCTATAATCATTGCTTAAAATCCATCACTACTGTCGGAAATCGCGGAAGTGATTACACAATTTATATTTTTTTTAATATTTTTAGAATAATTGAAAACGCCCAGCATGGGCCGTAATGTAAAGTGATTATGTAACTTATTATTTTATTATATAGGTTTTCACGAATGAATCGGTTTAAATATTTTTCTTGTAAAACACCAATAGAAATAAAAAAGATTTACGAGTCGATTTTGAAAATGCTTCCCCTACCAAAGTGCCGTTCTAGGCAGGTGCCTAGCTCGCTCGTCTATACCTTGAGTCGCGACCCTGGTCGTACCGGTTCCGGCGAACGAGGCCAAGTGACGTCTTTGCCGCCGGACGCGACGGTAAATCTACTCCCGAACGCGTGTCGTAACGTACTCGTACGGCGACGCAGATAAAAAAATCAAAATATTTTACCCTCTCCGGCATTTTTTATCACCTCGGCGCGTTCTACGAACTCCGACCGTCGTTTCGCGTTGATTTCCGATTAGCCACTAACAAATTACCGTCCGGATTGTTTGGTTTTTTTTTTTTCTATTATTATTTTTTATTTACGATCGCCGTTTCTTCGGTTATGGACACTAGTCGCTACTTCCCGATACGTTATGTTCGATTTTCAATTGAATCGAACGAGCACCCGTTGTACCGTCGCCGTCGTCGTTTTGGTCTGTATCCAACCTCGACCGTTACGATTCGAATGTTTGCTTATCGGTATTTTAACGCAAACGATCGGAATATTACGTGTAAATACGAAATGCAACAGGTTAGTTTTTATGCATTTATAATTAGTCTAGTATAGTATTAATACCAGCAGGATAAAATCATTTAGAACTCATTTTCTGGAGCGTTCGGTTGCATTATCATTGCTCTATCGATACGATTAAATTACTCAGATATTTTTTATAAGCTTTAAGCGCAATAATAGTATGTTTGAGCAGGGAAAACTATTTTTTATTTTTATTTTGGTCGAGGTCGTCACGGAAATAAGAGTTAAAATTGATAATAGTACATTTCAATTCACCATTATTTATATAAGGCTATAATTTTGACGGTTTTTTCGAAATGAAAGACTTATTGTTGTTGATTTAGACCTTGTAACTATATAATACTTTGATGTCTACAATAATAAACATACAGACGGCACACACATGTATACGCACGTTGATTCAATTCATATACGTATGGACTTGGCGTTCGTTAGAAGTGTTACGAAAGTAAGTAAATATTGTTAACATTTCATACTTAATATTAAAATGTAAATGAGACACAGAAATTACGAATACAAAATGTCAGCTCTTTGTTGAACCATACAATAATATTTTACGTAATTGCACACGCATTTAGACGTTTAACTGATTTGATTTGTAGTTTTTTTTTTCCAAATTAACTGTTGTGAAATAAATTTAACGCGTAAGTGTAAACCATGAGAATATGGACTTAATTTATGGATAATTTATATAAAAAAACATGAATTAGTATACGTGAATTTTAAACAACACAAATAAAAGAATACTAATTGGATTAATAAATCGAGGAATACAATTTTGAATGTACCTATTACATTTGCTGGCCAGACGAAGATAACTTTTAGCAAACGAGATATATTCGATAAATTTTCTAAAAACGTGTTTTGGCATGAGAGTCGGTATAGATAATATTGTATACTAATGGGACCTCTGTTCAAATTGTTTATCGCTTAATATACTACTGCTTCGCCTTTTTATATTATGCCCACCAAAGTAGAATCCATTCAATTAGAGTAATATTTAAATTAAATATTTGTCACGATGGTTAGTAATAATTCGACTCGTTTCGGATCATCGATGTTCGTAACGTTTATGAGTTTATGTTTTTTAATTTAATCATTTCTGGTTAGATTTGTTCTATAACAGGTGTATTAAAAACGCTTATACTTTGATCTTTCAATCCGGGATCAGAAAATAACTGTGCATACCAACTCTTATAATATTTTAATTTAAAAGAATAAGTTTTGCGTGCAAATTTTTACCACCAAGAAAAAGACAAAATCATATAGTATACGATCATGCGTTTTTAGCAAAAGTGACAAATACGATATTATATTTAATCCGTTTTGCCTAAAAATGTAATATAGTTTAAATATTTTTTAACATACCGTAATGGTTACGTGCGTGTGCAAATGAGCGTATTTCGGGCGATGTAACTATATAGTGTTTAAAATAAAATCTAAAAAATCTTATGGTGAGCTTTGCATTGTTGTCGTTATAGAAGCTATATACATATTTTGTACATCATCATTTTTTATTATTTTTTATTTAATTTATTTTTATTTTAGACATATATACATCATACAGATAAATAAACAAAATATACTAATATTTAATTACGTATATATTCCTCATTGGTTGTCGACTGGTCGGCGATAGCATTTTTCGGTGCTTCGGGGTTTATAGCGAAACAAAGAAGAAGAAAAAACTCGCTTTTGCGTGGTCCGTCACAGAACATTACGCCTCCGCTAACACTTGAATCACCCAAGCCTGTCTGCATAGAAAATACCAGGACCCGTCAGTCTTTCGGTCGTCTTCGAAGCAGTAAAACCTATTCAGACCGGGTAACCGTCTCGGACGACGAAAAACATCCAACCGCCCCGATTACGTGCGGATTCGACGATCCCGCGACTTGAGGTGTAGCCACTACGATCGTATGAAACGTCTCTGCGATGAAAGTCGGCGAACATAACATTAACTTTGTCCCGTCCCGAAAACAAAAACAATCATACATATGTGCACACATTTCATCGGCTCGAGCGAATTGCTCTTGTTCGCTTGACCGAAAGAAAACGGAATCGGATACGCGAGCGCGGGACAACTGCTGTCGCAACGGCGACTGTTTTCGCACCACACGAAAATCTGCTCTAATAGATAAGTGTATTTCGTTTGATTTTTTTTTCCGGTAGTAATTTCGAAACTGAAATCGAGATCCTTGCGAAAAGCTCCGTTTCACCTCTCCCATCACCGAGTCACTTGTTCGTTTCGACCTCCCCCCCCCCAAAAAAAAAAAAAAACCGGCGAACGGGGTACGGGGTGAGCGCGCGCGACAAACAACAAACGTGTGTACACTTGCCTAACGCCGACTGCGGTATCCTCAGCACGTTGAGCTCGGCGAGCCCGTTGCATTCGGCCACGGTCATGGGCGACGGCAGCTGCGCGTTCCTTTTCTTCCGGGGCCTGCCCTTGTGCGCGGACGGCCAGTGATGGCCGGCGGTCCTGGGAGGGCTGCACATCGGTTCCAGGTCGCACGCGTCCCGGTGCTTGAGCCGCTCGTAGTCCGGCCGGCAGAAGACCGCGCCGTCCCGCACGCCGTAGTAGTCGCCCTTGCACAGCACCGCGCCGCAAGCGTAACACGCGAAACACTCGACGTGGTACACCAGGTCCTTGGCCCGCATCACCAGGTCGCACGCGCCGATACCGCCTTGGCACCGGGCGCAACGTTTTATTGAAAACAATCTGCCGGACAGAACAACAACACAGGGCGGTGTAATACGCATTGTGCACATTTCGAGAGGTGGAACTATGAATTTTTACGCCCGGGGAAAATGTTAAAACTACGCCCTATCGTGGACCGATAATCAATAATAATCTTATCGAGAATTTTTTTTCTAATTATTAATATACAATCGTACTGATTGAGTTTTAACCTAATATCAGTATTTAACAAGGTTAAAAATATCAAATTAGTCGTTAATAATTACAAAAATTACACCCTCTAAAATTTTACACCTGGGGATCGTCTTCTACCCCTACGGTCGAGGATTATGGATGGAAAACCCTAAAGTTCACTCCCATGTAAGAAGCCCAAATCTTCCATGTGTAAGTCTCAACAGACTGTAAAATTCGTGCTGGACATGCCACTGTTGCAGTTTTACCCGCTTTAGCTCGAATGCGATTCGTCTGTAAATTACCTATCCCTATAGAGTTTCGTGTTACGACCGCGATCTTCTTTTTATTTTATATAAAAATAGGAAAATGAGTGGTTTACAATCTGTTATGTAAGACAAAAAGTTAATTGTATGTGTAAAATATAATTAAATAAAGATAAACGTAAAAATAACGGCTGATGCGCACGATTGTTTGTGTGTGTGTGTCGATCGGCAACAAGATGAGAGTTAATTTGTATAGTTCGCGGAGGAAGCAGTTCGCTAACCGCATCTCAGAATATGTCCTGTTGGTTTTTTTCGTTTTGAATCAATATTATTATTTAATTAGAATTGGAGCACATATCTTGGCCAGTAGAGTATTACGTTTCAGACAACGTTGAACATAACCGACCAGGGAGAAGGCAATGCATAAGTAGCAGTATGATAAAAGTTCATTATGAAATCGTTTACGGAGATTTTCGGCAAGTGCAGCGACTTTAGGTATAGTTGGAGGTGTTTAATGAAACTTTCGTTCGTACAAGAAACCAGGGAACTCCCGTTTTAAGCCTGAGACTGATGAAAGACCCGCGTAGCGGCCGTACATTCGAAGGTTTAAACAGCACACACGCTGGTTAATATCTTGCAACGAGATGATGTTCGAGCTGCTACAGGTGAAAATACATGATCGCGCGCGGTGTGTTATCGTGCGCGCAGGTGAACCGAAAACGTTCCAACAGCGCACTCGTTGAACCGCGACCAGGACACGTGCGGGAACGGCTTCGCGTACAACGGAGCTGATTAAAGTTGAAAAACGGGCGGTGGCGCGAGTCTGCAGATTAATGTGTGACCGGCGATCTGATAGGATTTTGATCAGGAGACACGTGCGGATCGAGTACGATGACGATATAATTGCCGAGGGCGCCTGGTGGTGGACGATCCGGGCAAAACGTCTGCGGTACAACGTATTATATTATATTTTACGTTCGGTAACAATAAACGGTTTGATATAAAATAATATTAAAATACGAATACGGTCCCGGTACTACCTATTATACGTGTACGGATCGTTGCGGAAACAATGCGCGTGACATGACAAGAGACGCGCACGTGCGCGCATAACGTCTCTCCCCAGGTGCCCTGGTCCGGGAGCATCAGGATGTGGACGAGGAGGAGGAAGTCATAGCGCGTGCACCAACCCTGTATATTCTGGACAGGGATTACGAGCATGTTACGTGTAGTAGTAGTACGCGTCACAGAGAGACCCGATCCGCCACCGCACCCGCAATATTATCGTCCGTGCAGATGTTTTGTGTCTGCCCAAAACAGCGTGCGGTTCACGGATAAACAACCCTCGAGTCGGCCTCGTTATATAGCGCGCGCGCACACATACACATTTATACGTGTACATACAACACTGTGTTGAAGCAAGTCGATTGTTATAGGGGCGGAACGAGACCGACAGTCGGCAGACGAAGTCGACCTCAAACGTTGACGGTCCCAACTCGAAATGTTGTATTGTAACGCGCACATCAATTAATTTACAACTAGAGAGAGGGTACGTGTGTTTATGTTCTTCCCGTGTATTCTCGTCCGCGCATAACAATGGGAAATTCGTCGAAACCGTTGGTTAACAGTCCACAGTAGAATATGCGTAGAAGGCGCTCGCGTTTGCTTACGACTATTTTTAATGCGGCAATAAAAATCACCGAGTCTGAGACTACGGAAGAGAGAACGATTTCGAGATATGATCTGCACAAGACTCGGGTAAAATTTAAAACGAAATGCACGGGAGACAGCGTAGTGCCGACCGAAGGATCGTCATATGTGTATTTCGGATCTACGAGCTAAAACTTATTATCATAACATTATACGGTGTACAGTTTATTACCCATAAAGCGACTTATTCAACGCTCATCGTTTCAGAGCTTCAGCATTAATGTTTCTCCCCTCGCAGTCGGTTTTCGTGTAATGCACTTCATCTACTCAAACGCGATGCGCACGTGCGTTCAATTATTCGAACAATTGACGGAAAATCCGATTCCGTATTATTGGCTTAAAATTAAATCGAACGGATTAGCTGTTTGTCCGCAAACGATCGACGGAGATTCGCGTTGTGCATATATCCTTCGTCCTGTGTACAGCGCGATATTGTGAGTACCGTACATGTTTCAAAAATGTTCTCATTACCATTCCGCCAGGGACAAAACGTGTATTATTTTTAATAAACGTATACAATGCACGTGATATATTATTTATACGTCGTTTTGTTGGGATTCCAAAAAAAGCGAACGCTGTTTTTGTAGTGGCGCGGCGGCGATCGCGATGATGGCGGTGATTGATGACGATAATATGTAACTTTCGTACACTTTCGTCTTAAATTGAATCATTTTCGTTCCTGCCCGTCGTTTATTATCTCTTTTTTTTCCTTTAATTTTATAAATAAGCGCTGGGTTACTTGTTCCCCGCACCGAGTTTGGAATTCAACCGGAACCCGCAGTCATCATGCGAGTAAATTAGGGTGTTCATGCTGCTGTTGAACAATGTCTCCCTACACGTAATTGCATTCAGAAACCGTGTTACGGCTGAAAATCATTCTCGAGATATAATGACTGCACTTCACGCATTTGCGTATACAAAGTCTTGGTGGTGGTTCATCTTACTGTATACGTGGTTTCGAACAAATTAGTTTGTTTTTAACTCGTCTATAATTTTTGTTCTGCCAAGTCTCGCGTCTAGTTTAGGAAAACAAACGTCACTGCATACCGGATGGTACCGGTACAATGATCTTAAAATAACCTTAAGCAAATCGAGCAAAACCATTTTCATCAAATATTCTACAAACATGGTTATAGATGTATCCGTTTCAGATAATACGGAAAAAAAGGCAGAGCAAGTTTTTAAAAATCATCATTAATTCTAAATTGGAGAGAGAAAAAAAAAACAAAAAATTCGTCTGAAGACGAAATTTACGATGGATTACAAAATAATAATAATATCAGTGAATTGGGGCAAGATTCAGATCACATTTCGATGTAAATATTTCTGTTGTCAGTTCTCACTATACGAACATTGTATTTCATTCTACGGAAAACACTCATTTAAATTTACACGCCAGGCGATTCAAATAATTGTCTTCAAAAGTTGTACTCCAAACCAGACTGTGATAATATGTGCTCTTTTAGTGGTAAAACAATACCGAAAATAAACGAATAATCAGATATTCGGTTAGAAACGATTTGAAAACAGACAGAACGATTTCAGCGACAATAGATTACTCTACGCAACACACTATATAAATATATTATTACGCTATGGATCTAACGGTAGATTAGGACTATCAGCTGCGGTCGATTGCCCCCGGTAGGAACGTCACTCTTAATAACCACAAAAATTGTTTATCAAAATAGTACTATTGATTTATAATATTGATCGGTGATTTTCAATTCAAATCCAAATCAATGTCGACTAAACTAAGTTTAGCGTTGAACTTTCCGGAGAAACGTTAAAACGTGACGCTTTTTAAGTGCTGCGAGCAGACACTCTTGCCACCCCTACCGGTCCTCTTCAAGCCCCGGGTGTCCAAGTTGAACGGCCGATACCCGCACGGTGTTATAATGCGGAAAATCAAAACAATAATGTTGTATAAAATACCTGTAATAGTCTTGTTTGCAGTAGATGTTACCGTGTCGCGAGTAGCACGTGAGCTCGGTGTCCAGCGGCAGCTTGCATTCGGCGCATTGCAGGCACCCGATGTGCCAGCACATGTCCACCGCGGACAGGTAGAAACGGTCGTCGATCGATCTACCGCAGCCGGCGCAACAAGTCCCGTTGCTACCGTCCTCCGGATCGGCCACCAATCCTGGACTGTGGATATCCTTCAGCATATCCACTCAAAGGACATGACCTGTTCGAACAAAAAAAAAAAAAATCCGTTCGTTTATACAACGTGCGCTGCCCGTGTCCGACCGCGGTTCGCATGACTACGCGCGGTGATCTTAACGCATTCAACAAATAATTATTATTACATACGAACGGTGCAATGTATTCGATAACTGTAATAGTACAATAAACTTAAATCGGTTCTCGCGCTTTTATGATCAGACCTTAAAGTGGTAAAAAAACGCAGGACATGATCTATGATGATCCCTACGCCGTTTTGAGCGTTCCACGTATCGGTCCATGCAATTACTAATCAATAATTACAATTATTGTAATGCGTGATTAATACTTGATATGGGTCAGTTATTGTTGGTAGAAGTTAACAGTTAGCTAACGGCGGTCGAGATGAAATAGTTACGAACAGTACGAAACAATTTTTTTTTTTAAATGTCACCATAAAACCTATAGCTAATTACTAATAATACAGTACATTAATGTTACTAATTAGTAACTATTAATATTAATATATCATACATAAGTTAATATTATTATTTTTTTTTAATTACAGTATTACAATTATCAGACAACTATGAGAATCTCAAATCGATCGTTCGAATGAAATGTTCAAAATTGTTTAAAACTGTTTAAAAAGCAAATTGCCGACCTGTGTATATATTATACGGCACGTCGGTTATCCCGTTCCAGTTGTTCGGCATTCGTTCGGTCGGCAATGACTGGTTTCCAAATATTTTTTAATCGGTATACGGTAAAAGGTTTGCGACAAAATTTTTACTGTTATCGTATCGTAACGCAGTTTGTAATACACTTGGTACGGCGAACGCGGCACGACGTAATATTACCGTACAACCGCGAAAGCGTTGGTCACAGGGGGGAGAGGGGCGAAGAAACGATGAAGAATTACGTGTACATCACAGTCGTCGTCGACAGAAACGAAGAAGACGACCATCACCAGGTCGATAAATAATTACATACAAATACAGTTCGCCGTTTCTGAAACCCACGCAGCAGCGGAGAAAAAAAAATACGGATTTTTATTTATCATAAAGGCGCACTCGCGCATGCAAACCACCAATAATGCAACGAGTCGATGAGCATAACGATCGTAATACATGTGCAAGAAAAAAAAAAAAAAAAAAAAAAAAAAAAGTACGGAACATAACACGAAAACAATAATATTCCAGACGGTTCGTTAACCGCGATGGGTGTCGATACGATTCGCGTTCTTCGGTCTTTCGTTCACGGTTAGTGTATTGATTTTCTGATGCCGTTTTCCTCAATTCTGTATGAACATCGCACTCGAGTGGTAAAAGTCACGTGTACGTGTAGGAAACACAGGTTTTTTTTATACATATCTTTTAATCAGAGGTTGGACGGTGAGGGTTTGTGTAATCGAGATCTTCAAATTCGTCCGTTTCCCCGACGCGACGTACACAGTGCGTTTTTTTGTGGCTGCCATTCGACGTTGAGCAGGGGGGAAAATGGGGGAAAAAACCGTAACACCTACAGCTAGATCTTGCTCTAACTACACGTATCGTTTCGTAAATAGCGTTTGAAAAAAATTATTACCGCAACCCGTGCAAGAGACGACGAAAAAAATCAAAAATTCATAAATAATCACTATCGTCCTTCCGCCGTGCGCCGGGGCGTTATAGTAAATCGACATTACGGTAATGTTTCTTGTTCCCCCAGCACAGAACCTGTACAGTTCTTAAAACCACCGAGACCGGCTATAAATAACACGGTTAATGGCCACGCAAATGCGCTATGAATGATTTTTTTTTTTTTTTTAATTTTTTTATCTCCTACATCGCGAGAACAAGTTTTCTATTCGGTGGTTCGCACGGCTAAATAGCTGCTTCCGACCGAAACTCGAACGTGTAATACGTATATATTACATTTTATCACCTACGATAGTTCATGATACGCGCAATAAACAATGATTTCGCATGCGCGTTGTATTGATTTTCAGCAACCCATTGTTACGCGTTGTTTGGATTCGATATATTTTTTATTCTATCATTTATGTCGTATAATAAACTTATATTGATGGCAGAACAAATTTTTTTTTCCCAGGTATCCCATACGTGGGATCATTTCAAACGTAAGCTTTATCGCATGTCTAACGAATATTGCGGAAGATTTGAAACCAGTTTCATGTTATGAATGAAGTAATTACTATTTTAAACGCGTTGAGCGTTAATTAGTTTTTTTTTTTTTCATTTGTTTGTACAATATAAAGTCATTGTTTTGAGATCACTTTGATACGTAGACATCCTTATCGGGTGTACGTAATTTGCGCCAAACGAAACCGAAAAAAAATCTATCCATTATGCGCTACGACCGATAGCAAATAGTACTACGTAATTTGCCACACAAATTTGTCAAAACTGGTTCATCGTTAAATTTTTAACGCTTATTTTATTATATAGATATATCGATTTTCATAAATATAAAACAAAAAAATGTTCAGCTAATAATTGAAATTATATTTGATATTCTATGAAATATTTACAAAAATCAACTTTAATTGTTTTATAAATTATTACACATTCCTCGGAGTATGATATAAAATGAAATCAACATTTTAGTCATTGTACCTGGTGCGTCGATTTTGTTTTATATTAGCGCACCGCTTTCGACGTTTCCCGGTCACCGAGCGTGCTTTGCGCAAACGGAGCCCAAATATTGGTGGGTCGTTGAAAATCGCTGAGAATCAAAATTGAACGGTATTCAACTGTGACTACTGTAGATCGTATAGAGATCCGAGAAAAAAAAAAAAACGGGAGTGCTACATCCGACACCCGGGGGGGGGTCAAAAAAAAAAAAAAACCGTATGGCGCCCCCC